ATCAACTCATCTAATGTTTCATTCCCACTAGCCCATCCTTTAGTTAATAGCTTTGGATCACATAATTGACACCATGCTGGACTAGTATTATACCTATTGCAAGTTAGACATTCCCCATATTCTTCATCTCTTCCTGTTGAATATTCATCTTCCATATAACACATTACAACAATATATTCTTTTGTAATTGGATCTTGTGTCAATCCATAAATATGAATTTCACCATAAAGCTTTGCATAACTTTTGAACTAAAATAACAAATAAAATATTTAATTACAACAATAATAATCAATAAAATCTGAAAATAAATAAAAAAAAAAAAAAATTCACCTCATCAAGAAATTCATCAGTAATACTCTGTGAACCATGTAATTTTTTTAATTCCACAGTTATATCATAACTATATCTTTTTCTATCATATGCATATTTCCGACCATTTAACCAAGTTGCAAAACCACCTTCACCTATCTTTTTAATATTTGTTAGATCATTATAAGGAACCCATTGAAGATAATATTTATTGTCATAACCAGTTGCTTTAAATTGTGTACTTTTAATCAACTCATCTAATGTTTCATTGCCACTAGTCCATCCTTCAGTTAATAGCTTTGGATTGCATGATTGACACCATGAATAATTAGTATTATATCTATTGCAGGTTGAACATTCCCCATACTTTATATCTCTTTCATTTGAATATTCATCTTCTATTACAAATATATATTCTTTTGTAATTGGATCTTGTGTTAATCCATAAAAAATTATACATGGAAACTTCATATACTTTTTAAGCTAAAAAAACAAATAATATTTAGTTATAATAACAATAATGTTTTAAAAAATCTGAAACTATATTAATAAAACAATTTACCTCATTAAAAAATTCATGAGTAATATTCTGTGAATCATATAATTTTTTTAATTCCACGGGCATATCTTTGCTGATTCTTTCACCAACATTAATTATAAATTTCTGACCATTTAACCAATTGGCTTTGTATAGTGTTGCAAAATCACCTTCACCTATCTTTTCAATATTTGTTAAATTGTTATAAGGAATCCATTGAAGATGCTTACTATTATCATACTTGGTTGCTTTAAATTGTGTACTTTTAATCAACTCATCTAATGTTTCATTGCCACTAGTCCATCCTTCAGTTAATAGTTTTGGATCACATGATTGACACCATCCCCGATTAGTATTATATCTCTTGCATGTTGGACATTCACCATACCTTTTATACCTTTTATTTGAATATTCATCATAATTGACAATTTTGGTGAAAAAATTCTTTAGCTCCTTTTTGCACTCATTCAAAGTAATTTTCATTTTTAAAAATTATTTGTATTTTCTAAAACTTTATTTTTAGCCAACCATAATTGTATATTTATAGTAATTTAAAATTAATTTACGAAAGTTGCACGAAGAGAAAATCAACACAAAACAATAATAATAAAATAATTAACTCACGGAGAATGAATTCTAAATTGTAACGGACTTTTAATTCCTAGATTCTATTTAAATGAAGTAGGCTCAAATGATGTTTAAGGAATACATAGTGATGTTAATCATTTGACTATATTTGAATAAACATTCGAATATTCGGTTTTTTATATGAATATTCGGTGCTACATATCGATCATCATAACCAAATAAATTTTCCAACCACAAAAAAAATAATTTATTTTATTATTATTACAGAACGGACACGTCCCAATTGCAAGTACAAGTAGAAATAAATGTCCAAATATTACATTATTATGAATATTTACAGATTTTTGATCACTTAGGTATGTCTTTCATAGTAAATCATTTATTTAAAAGTAAATATGATAAATAATTAGATATTAAAATTTTTCTTTTACATTTAATTCCTATGTACATATGTAAATAATGATTAAATTTATCTCTGACTTTATTATTTATTTATCATACTGATGTTATTAAATATAAGTTAAAATATAAGTTAAATAAAAGAGAAATTTATATAAACTATTGAATGATTGATGAAACATTCGTTAGAATACTTTGTTCATAGATCTCGTCCTTAAAGTTTGTACATACTATTGAATAATTGATAAAACCTTGTTAGAATATTTTGTTCATAAGATCTTGACCTTAAAGCTTGTACAAACTATTGAATAATTGATAAGACCTTCGTTAGAATATTTTATTCATAGATCTCGTCCTTAAAGTTTGTACATACTATTGAATAATTGATAAAACGTTCGTTAGAATATTTTGCAAGTTTCATAGATCTTGTCTTTAACGCTTGTACAAACTATTGAATAATTGATAAAGAAACGAAAGTTTATCAATTATTCAATAATTATATGGATCGAAGTAAGTGCAGTCAGGATTATTACCAAATTTGGAAATCGAATCTAGAAAAATTGGAACTCCTTTGTCGATCAATTCATATGTGTGGCGAACGAGTTAACGTGATATTTTGCTGCCTTTTGAAAATCTTTTTTTTTTTTTAATTATAATAATAATAATCAAAATAAACAGTATTGAACTTGCTTTTTCATAATCTACTAAAAATCTACAAAAACCTATTAATTTGTTCAAAGTAAGCCTTTACATAAATTTAAAGAAATTTAAGTGCTGGGAGTTTAAATTTTAAGTTTTTTTTTTTTCTCTTTGAACTTTAGTGGTAAAACGTCAAGATCAATTGCACTTGCTTGCACTGAGAAATATTCAGAGAATCATTTGAGATAAATATGTTAAATGCAATAGGGAATAAAGTAAAGATTGTTTAAAACTATTTGTTAAATATTTATTCAAAGTATGCTTTTACAAAATTAAATGATGTAACAAATTCTCGATAATTTATTCATATTTTTATAGTTCCAATCATATTAGAATTATTTACAAGTGATGATGAAAACAATTGTAATATTGAATTAATGATAAGCAGGTAAAGAAGTAATATATATATGCATAAACTTTAAGCAGGGATAAAATGTATCTACCGAGCCAACCATATAAAATAAAGATTCTCTCTCCATAGCACTGTTTTAGGAATATCTCTTGATTAAAAGCCTCTAATAATTTTATAAGTGTGACGATTTTCCAGCGATTGAAAGTTCGTAATACTAGTAAAACGTTAATAAAACACGCTGTTCTCAAACCACTACCCCTCTTCCATTTAATATTAAAAATCACGTGAATGATTGACCGCACCTCAATTTAATTATAGTATAGAGGTGGAAAAGGATCCCGACAATCTTAGGAGATGGTGGTGTATTTCAACTTTGGGTAGAAATGGCCTATATCTTAAAATCATTTCTTAAATGGTAATAAAATGGGTATTTTTTCAAATACATTCTCTCCCAAACATTGTCACAGCGGACTATAATAATAATTAAATTCTTGTCATAACAGATTTTTAAAATTTTTGCTTCACGTATTAATTTTCTTATGTGTCCCGTTTATCCGCTGTGACTTTTAAAGACTTGACTAATGGTATCATCTAACTTTTGAGCGTCGATTTTTTCTTCGATAGTTGCAATTATTTTCAAAGTATTTTTGGAGGAGTTTAGGTGCAGGTCTAGGACTCTAGCTTAATTTTTCGAGAATGTTTTTTTTTTGTTATGATTTCTAATAACTTAACTTTGAGTTCTTGTAAATACTTTTTAGTTAGGTCAAGCAAGTACACCTCAATACCCTGGCCCATATAATATAAATATATAAAATAATCAGATTACAAATACTTATTATTATATTAAAATTTTTGTTTCCTCCATAATTGATTATTTAATATGCAGATTTTTTAATGTTATATACATCGAACGTTGTCAAAATCGTCTTAAGGAAATATCGTGTAAAATTCCTATATATTCTCCTCATCAAAGATCCATCGTCATCATTGTATTTCTTTGTTGCTGTTTTTTAAAATTATGTTAATGCTGATGAATGATGTTGGTTACTTTGATGGAGGCCAGTTTAATCCTTTTTTTTGGATACTTGCAAATTCTGAAAATCAAAATACTAAATATTAAATAAAGCGATCAAAAAATGTTAAGGGTACACCACCTATCTGTTCTCGTTTCTTTGAGAAGTGACAAAGGTAAAAGTGACATAGCTAGAAGAACATCCTCTTTTCGCAGGGATTTAACGGTCTATTTTTTAAAATTTTAATAATAAAAAAAAAGTCTTGGGCTTTGAAATTAGTCAACTTTCCAATATATTCAAATTGCATGTGAATCCACTCACTGAATATGAAAAGGAAATCTATTAATAGATTCCCAAGTACTGTACAACAAGAAACAGGGGCAGAGTAATTTTTTATATCATGGTAACGACAAATAAACAAACCGTTTTACAAAATGAATCTTTGTTATCGAGAACCAATGTAACGATATCATTCAATTATTCTGTATGTTTACAATATCGAGATCAAAGGTATTTAAATTGTTGTTATCATACATTTTGTTATTCATGTATTTCTTAATGGATAAAACAATCAAAAGTCCATATTGTACACTATGTAAGAACAAGATAAAATATATAATTCATAATCTTGATGAGACTAAAGGATCACTTTTAAATATTATTTGGAAGATGACTATGGCGAAAGGCATGGCCATGGAAATAATGTTAATATAGTGGTGGCGAGTTTAAGCATAGCGAAAAAAATAAGTTGATGACAGCAAAGAAAAGCAAGAAAAGAATTCAAATAATAATCAACATCAAAGACATCATCAAATAATCTAAAAATATTAATCAAAAATAAGATTTATTACAGAGATATGTATAATGAAGTATCAAAGAATATGTTTAATAAATATTAACAATGTGTTATTTTAATGAAAAAGAAAGTTGAAACGGTGGTTGAAAGGAGCCAAAATTTCTGGACAAATTAAATGGATTTTGAATAATTGAAAAATGGGATGAATTAATCGAATATGGTTAAAGACATTATTCAAAGATATTTGTAAATATGGATTCATAGATACATTATTATTACCTTTGGGTGACAACGGACAAAATTTATCTACCATTTCTTGTATGGTAAAAATTTTCCTTCAAATGTGATCTTTACTCTCTCTTGATCTTCTTTTTTAACCTTCAAGGGATCAAAAATAGAAATAATTTATTTAATAATAATGACAATCGTTGTATTATTATGGGCGAAGGATATTTTGAAATCAATCTATAATCCAACATCCAACATCAGTGTCAATAATTACCTTATCAACATTCGCAGTAAAATCAATTGCAGACATGATTCCATCACCAAACTTTTTTACAACAATGTCAAAAACAATAATTTAATTGTTACTATTGTTGTTTTTGTTAAATTATAATTATATGGATGAAATTATAATACCTTTTCATTAACAATAGACTTTAATGGATATCCATAAACCTATTTAAAAAGGAAATTAACAATTAATTGAACAATTCCTCTCAAAGTGAAGGATTTCAAAAAAAAAAATTGAAAACAATAATTTACTTGTAAGATTTCATAAAACCGGTAGAGAAATGGATCACTCGGTGGCATATTAATTAATCTTAAAAAAAAAAAAATCCCAATTTAATTTAATTGAAGAGATTCTATAAAAAGATTTATTATATAATAAAGTTTTTGTGGTCAAACCAACCCTCCACGAGTAGGGAAATAAGATTTATCGAGGTCATCAATTAAATAGCTTTCTTTAATATCCAATATGACACTAAGTTTTTTCAGATCATCTTCATCCGGTTTTGCCTTTATTATATTAAAAAAATAATATGGTATTAATAATTAATTAGTAATAATTAAAAAAGACTTATTTATTTATTTATTTATTTACTTGTCCATAAAATACTGCTGCGACCCAAACTTCATCTCTTCCAAGTTTTTCTGCAATATCATTAAATCTACATATTATTTTATTAATGGATAAATAATTTCAGTCTTGTTACTTTAATCATTCTCATCCTCTTTATAACAAATAATAAATTATCATTGTACGTTATTTTCTTTGCATTTTTTCCTTCAAATAATTTTTGACAAATACTTGGAAGTTTGGATTTCAATGATGGCTTTTAAAAATAATTAACAAATTTATTAATTAAATTTTCAATAATAATTGTTATTTTATTGTATAAATATACATACATCCATTTCGAAAATTCAAAGAAAAATAATTTGGGGTATACTGCAATAAAACCAGAAAAGTGAACATTCGTACTACCAAGAATTCCAGGGTTCAAATCTAGTCATCAAATGTAATAATTATTATTATGTCCATTTTTTGTCTTCTATATAAAAATAATTCCACCATGGAACCCAAGATTTGCAGCGATTTGAGAAATAAATTTTGTTTGGATGCATGTAATAAAAGAACACAATAAAAAATGACTCCAATTGACGTTTAATCTAAAAATGGAAGTATATTTCCTTTGTCCACCTATAGCAATCTTCGATATCCGTAAATTGACGTTTCTCGTTGATTCATTATGACACCAATCTCTCACGTCCTTGTCATTTTCAAACTTAATTAGAAAAGAGTTCCTGGAATAGCTTTATTTGCTTACCAAAGTTTGTGTTTCAGAAAGGATGTTTAACCAATCCACTCGCTGTAAATATCACACAAACATCTTCCACTCAATATGACTAGGAAGCTAAATTTGTCTAAATATTTATCATTAAGAGCTTCATCTGGTGCTTCTAATGCCCGACCATATCACTAACAAGTATGTCAATAAGATTATTGTCAACAAAAACAGGCATTCCTTGTCTTTTTGGTGGTGATAAAGGTGATATTAGTAAGAACGCTCGCTTTTGACGTGAATTGCTCACAAAGGTCGGCCAAACGTTGCTTTACAAAACCACATCACAAATGGTCCAGATGTCATATGAGAATAGAATATTGATGCTTTATCCTCACCATCCTTTACCTGGTTACAAATTGCTGCTGATCGCATTCCATCAATCGCAATAATGACTGTCAAATCCTTTGGTTGCACATTTTGATGTTTAGCAACCTTTAACACTACTTGATCTGGTGACATTTTCGACATGCTTCTATCCAGCCACCTTTATGTTTTTCTAATCGAAGAAGCATTGCTTGCAATGGCAGCTTCATCACTATGTTCCTCTAATAGATCTATTTTAGTACCATTTTCAAAAGAGATATTAAATACAAACACATTTTCAAATCGTCCCTTCAGTTCCTTATGAGCAATCATAAAAATAGTGGCATGGTGCTTTTATCCAGCTGTTGTCTTGTATAATGTTTGTGGTCATCAATAGTTCTCTCAAATCATTTGATTCTGGAAATACCCACTTGTTCAAAGGTGGCAGTTATTCCAATTTATCTGATAACAAAACTTACAATGAATTTATTCGAGTGTTCAAACATAAAGAAAATAGATGCTCTAAAAAGCACAAGTCAATTGACAAGTTAATTAGCATCACAGACAGTATACAAAACAATAAAGTGATTAGCTTCACCATCTAGACAATGAAAAGAAACAGTGAAGAATGAATGATAATTAATAGATGATAGAAGGAAAGATCATTAGTTGAAATGCGAATTATTAAAGGAAAAAAATCACAAGTTAGTCAGCGTTCAACCTCCCCACATTCCCATTCTCCCTAAACTCTTCCGACTTCTTTTCTGCGTTTTTTAATTGATTTTTCGATTTCTTCGATTGTTGGCATTTTTTAAAAGTATATAAAAAATTTTTTTCGTTGTTCTTGTTGGCGTTTTATTTTCATTGCTTATTTTTTTAAATCATTCAATTATCCCTCATATAAGATAATAATTGAGGTAATTAGCCCAAAACTGTGGATTAGATAAATATTAGGTTGCTACCAAAGAGACATACCTAGCTTATCTTGTAATTTATGTATTATTGGTAAAGAAGTAATGTATGAATGAAATTGACTGCGCCATTAATACACCGCAACCAGGGTTGGTAAATTCCATTCTCCATTCAAAAAATCAACGGATCAATGGAGCAAAAAACACTATAATTTATTATGTTTTTAATAGAGAGCAACGGGGTCAATCGCAGATCAATTATATATACTGATCTAAAGGCAAAATTTATTGTTTTATAACAAATAAAGTGATCAAACAGCAAGTCTATCAGTATTGTCTGTCCATAAATAAAAATGGGGGGAATTGGCGATAGCCGGCCAAAATTAAAAGGTTGTCAATATCCTTAGACGAGAGCGAAAACAAAGGCTATGGATGATAATAAGATCTTGCCGCAGAAAATCAAATACAATAAATCCAGTAATACAATGAATGATATAATTTTTGTGAATGGTGTTGCTATTCTATGAAAAAATGCACCTTCAAAATAACATCCAATCAGTAAAAAAGAACAATGATAATAATATGATCTTCTTTTTTCTATGCCGATTTTACACTAAACAAACTTTTTTTTTGTATAATAGTAAAAATTTTCGCTAATTATGATGTCATGTTTCAAAAAAAAATTTTTTTTTTTAAAGAAATAATCAACTAATACGAATATAATTAAACGATTAAACAAACGTATAATATAAATATAATAAACATGGATAACAAAGCTTCCCAAACCTCAGACGATAATAAAAGATCAACCGAGGAAAAACAAACAAAAGAAATGCTCGACGAAGAACCACAATCGTCGTCAAAAGCAAGCAAATTTTCTTTTATTATGATTATAATTGTTGATTTTTATTTTTTCACAGATTATTTATTATTGCTTCTCTTAATTCGTTTCATGTAGTTGAATAAACTTGAAGTAGATTGTGGAAAGAATGAACAAGGAGAAACATATTACAAAGTAACATATATATATAATTTATAATATGCACCATATGTTAGATTATTTATTTAATATTCTTCTCCATATATATTAGTTATCAGATAAGAAAAGAGTTACAATTAAAGAATGGAAGAATATGATATTACTTGATATTCGTGAATTTTTTGTAGCCGATGATGGAACTTTGAAACCAACTAAAAAAGGCATTTTAATCTTTTTACATATATATATTTATTTTTTTTTTTTTAATCAAATTACAGAATCAATTGATAATTGATAATTGATTGTTTTCCTTTTAAAAGGCATTTCATTGCAAGAAGATCAATGGAATAAATTGAAATCGTTAGGAAATGATATCGATGAAGCAATAAACAGTTTAAAATAATGCACTTACTCTTCTCTCGCTTATAATTTGCAGGATATTATAATAATAATAATAATAAATAATTTTTAATTGTTGAATGAATTGTTTGAGAATACTTGTGAAACTTTGACATGGAACATCTTCACATTATTATTTATTATCTATTGACCGGCTAATTAACAAACTAATACTTAAAACAGCAGGCAGCGATTGCTGGTTTCATTGGTTTAGATATTGTTAATAACAATGGGGTTTTCTTTCATTTTTATGTCCAAATTAACGAAAGAATACAACTCAACTAAATCGGTGCAACATACTTTGTAACAATTTAGAAAAGAATTAACAATGATACTAACTCTCTTTAGAAATTTTCAAAAGAAAAGGAAAATTTTCATTTCACAAATTGATTGCATTGTATCATTGATCCATTGATTAATTATTGACCACGATCATGATCACTCTCTCGAATTTTTTTAAAACGTTCAAGGGTTGTATTTACAAGTAAAAAAAATGAAGAAAAAATCATTTGATCAAAATCAAGCCTTCCAAAAATGTGAAGAAATATTTTCCATTTGGAATTAATCCATTATTGTTTTAGTATTAGCATCGCCATTAGAAAACAACAATTTGGAATTAATTCGTTATTATTAATATCCAATTAAAGGAAATCATCAAAGTTTTTTTTTTGAAAAGATTCTTGCCTTTTTGAAAATGTGAAGAAAAATGTAACAATTTTGTGTATTGATTTTATTGTATTATTTCTAATATTAAAACGGCCATTCCTTTGTTGAAAGTGCAAAGAAAAATGTAATGATTTCGAAATTAATTTTATTATTATTTTTCCTAATATTAAAAACGACCATGACTTTTTTGAAAGTGTGGAGAAAAAGCGTTATTTATTTTTTAAGGGTAGTAGTAGGTAGGGTAACTATGATACAGTAGATGATTTTTTGACTGCCGATCATTAAAATATTAGTGTAGTCGTAATAACATTATTATTATATATAAAGAATATTTTATTGTATTTTATTTGTAAATATTATCTAATGAATGATAATTACTGTTCCTTATTTAAAAATAAATTATGATGTTGGTTAATTATATATTAATTATTTTTACAAAATACATATTATATTTCACAAAATACCAAGTAAAATTACAGGAAACTCCCACGTTTTTGTTTAAAATTTGATATAACTTCCACGAAGAATAAGTATATAGAACAAGTATTGTAGGTGGCGTAGATTGAGATATATTGTTGTCTTGTTCGGTTTATAAAATACAACTATTATATGTACATTAAAATTAATTTTTCTGAAACAAATTCATCGCCAAATTAGGAAATTTAGAAAATTAGAAAATTTGCCGCATGAACCGGCCGTTTTATTCTGCATTTCGTGCTTGTTTATTTGTTGTGTAAATCCCCGAAAACCTAATTTCGGTTTTGTGGTTATTTTTAATCTTTTTAAAATGTATAAAATAATTCAAAAAATTTTCTTTTCTCAATAATTAAAAATTTCACATTAAAATTTTGAAAATTTCGAGTTACAATAATAATTAACATCTGCCCATTCGTACACTCTCTCACATTCACCAATTAAATTCTATCATTTTTCATTATAAAAATAATAATAATAATAATAATAATCATTATAATATAAACAACTTTATTTTTTTCAAAATGAAAAACTCATCGATTTTTTTGATTTTTCTATTTGTTATTACAAACTTCACCATTATTCAAATGGTAGATGCTTGGGGCGAAGATGGCCACAAAACTGTTGGTGAAATTGCTCAAAATGTTTTGAAACCGAGCGTAGCTCTGAAAGTTGCAAAGTTGTTTCAAGATCCGTCTTTCGGTGGAAAATTAGCTCCTGCCAGTATTTGGGCCGACACTATTAAAAAACAAAAAGGATCTCCATTTGCTTTTTGGAGTGCTCCTTTACATTTCATGGATACTCACGATGACCCTGGCAAAGAATGTTCTGTCAATGAGGTAATTAAAAAAAAATTTTTCAAATTTCACGTGTTTGTGTTTATGTTTGTGTTTGTGTTTTTATTTAACTTTTTTCTCGTATAATTATTTTTTAGGCTACTGATTGTGCTGATGGTGTTTGTGTGGTCGGTGGTAAGTGTTCCTTTCCTTTAAAAACAATAAATTATTTTTTTTTTTATTTTTTTTCTTTATTGTTAAAATGTTTTATATAATATTATTATTACACGATTAGCAATTGCCAATTATACAACTCAATTGGATTGCGAAAACGGCAATGACATCGATACTAGAGATATCGCTCTTAGATTTTTAACACATTTCTTTGGTGATGTTACACAACGTAATGATTTTTTTTTTTCTCTTATTTTTTTTTTTTTAATATTAATATCTAATGACAATTAATTAAATCAATTATGCTTTTTTAGCACTTCATGTTTGTGGACGTGCAAAAGGTGGAAATGGTATTGACGTGAAATTTGATGGTCATAGTTCAAAGTAAGCATCATCATTGTCATCTTATTTTTTTTTAAAAAAAAACAATTAATTTTAATATTTTCTTTTAAATTATTTTTTAGTCTTCACTCCATCTGGGATACAGCTATGGTAAATTTACAAAAAAAACTTGATAAATTCTCTTTGTAATGAAACATTTTATTTAATTCAATTAATTAATTAACTAATTGACAATTATATTTTTTAGGTTGAAAAAAGATTAAAAGACTTTAACAATAGTTTTAAAACATACGCAAATCACTTAACCAATGAAATTATTAATGGAACTTTTGCAAAAGAGTCAAAAACTTGGATTTCATGTGAAGAGACACCACAACGAAGGGATATTAGTTTCATAAAGCGTGCCAAAGCCACTACAAGATGTCCACTTAGTTGGGCAGTTGACACCAATGGAATTAACTGTCCTTTGGTAAGTGTATACATATCTATTTATTTGACCATAAAGATGAATTTGGGAAACTAAAAAAAAACTTTTTTAATTAATTAGGTTTGGGCAGCTGTTGATGACAATCCAGCATTAGATTTAGGTGGAAAATATTATAAAGATGCAGTACCATTTATTGATAGACAACTCGCCAAAGGTGGTTTTAGACTCGGAACATTCTTAAATATTATGTTAAGTAAACCTTGTGAAAAGAATTAAATTGTAAAATTGTTGTATATAGAGAATTTATTTCGATAGATAATATTTAACCTAATAAAATAAAATCAATTAATAATATATATAAAAAAAGAAGATATCTACAATGTCTCTTGAAAATTATTTAGTAGTGGTGTGATCGTTTGGTCGATAAAATCTTCCATCGTCATCGTAATAGCAACAGTCATGATCCACCGTCATAGCTATAAATGTTATTATTATTTCTCTTCCCCAGCCAGCCACTTTTTCATCATCGCCGCCATCATCAATATTATCAAAGTAAATTATTCATATTTCGTCATATTTGCATTCGTTTCAGTCGTTTTTCGTCATCGTAATCATTGCCATTTACTAGGTTGTTATAGTCATCGTAATTAATAATAAATTTTCGTCAATCATGACAACTTGTTCCTTTTGGATTATTTGCTGATATTCAACGGTATTATTATAAAAATCAATTTTACTTGCCAACCAGATGAACCTGTCATGGCGTTAAGGAACGTGATCAAAATGGTAATAATGGCGTTTTTGAAATCGAATTGACAATAACTTTTAGCAAGAATGGATTTAATCCGTTTGGCGGTTTGTTTTTAGTCTTCATTTTATCAAAGGTTCCTCCTCTTCTGTGATGGGAACTGTCGAGAAAATCCTTAACCCATTTGGATCCGTTGGCTACCTGTTGATACGCAAGTATGATGCTGATATTGGACCTTACTTGCAATCTGTGATCCCCCGGATTGATCTGGAAATATCAATATCAATATTAATATGACGATTCTCAAAACTTAAATTACTTGTGACTCTGAAATTTTGATTTAATTTTCTAGTTTTCCTAGGTTTACAAACTTTACAAACTTATTAAGAAAAATTTCCCAATCAATGAAAAAAAAATATTTATTGAAAACAATTGAATCCTAGATGTTGATGTTTTTTAATTGATCCCATGGTTTTGCACTATTATTTCCTACTTCAAAGGTTTAGCTAGGTCCTTCCTTCCCGATTCTTCATTAAAAGTTCCAAAGCGTTTTCATCGTAAATAGTGACTTTGTTTTCAAAAACTATAGTATTTAAATTCATTGGTAAACTTTCGTTTAAAGCCATAAATAAATACCTTATCACCATTTAAATTGGTTTTCCAAATAAATATAATTACACAATATAATGTTTTTCAATCGAGTGTATTTATTAAATATATCTACTAAGTGTTATTCTTGTAAAATATTGCTAATTGTTCTAAATTTAAATTTAAACAATTCTGAACGACTGCGAAGTTTGTCACTTGGATCACCCCCAATGTTCATAATTCTCCATTGATTTTAAAGAGATTTGACAAAACAAATAAAAATGAATGATTATATTAAAGTCTCAAGATTTGAAATAATAAATGTTATTTTGTCATTGGTTGATGACCTTCTTCTGATAATGTTATTGTTAAATAATGACAATGATTTTGATATTGAAGAACCTAAATTAATATTCCCATGACTTTCATAATGAGTTATTGGTTTTGAATGGATCGCAAACGCCTTTTTGAATTCATCCGATAAAACCATTTCTTATTTATTTTGACATAAAGAATTAATATTAATATCGATTTTTAAAACTGGATGTTTTTACATGCATACATACCATCAAGAAAATAACAATCCAACTCATAAATATTTTGAAAGCAAGAATTAAATCAATCATCCAGTTGAACAATTTTTTTTAATTTTTTATTTTTAAAAAAATAAAATAAAATAAAAATTTCATTATTATTTCCAACCAATTTAGCCTAATCTAAATAACAAATAACAATCACAACCGAATAAATTCTAATTCCTGAACTCATTCATACATGATATATAATTTCACAAATAATAGTCTTTGGATCCATGACGTTTAATGATAAATGGCCTAGGACCTTTCCAGTTATTAGTTAAAATCCACAATGAATTATCAGACAAATCAGCCGGTTTATTAAATGTCAAAGTCTTTAGACTTTTTGGTAATGTTTGATTTAAAAGTGCTAATATGTTGTTCCCATTGTATGCTGCTATTTTAGGTTTCTTTTTTTTAGGAAGATTACCTGTGTCAAGTGTAATTGATTTTAATTTTGTACAATTATTCAAGAGATTAATAAATTGTTCATCTTGTTCATCATTATAGAAAATAGACAAAACCTCCAGTTTATGACAATTTTCAGCAATTGATTCTATCAGTACGTTTAAACTTTCTTTATCCTTTGCTCTACCATCAATTATCAATGTATTAAGATTACTGCCATTAGTATTTATGAATTCAGCCATGTCCAATAAAAAAATTTTTTTATGAATTTTAACATTCACTTTTTCAAGATTTGGATAATTGGTAAATTTTATACGAGATATTTTATTAACAGCCGAATAGGAATCTTTGTTATGACTTATTAATTTCAAAGATTTCAAATTTCGAAATGATTCTATCAGAATATCTATATTATTGTCTGTGGAACTTTCATAATGGATAATTGAATTTGAATGGATTGCAATCGCTTGTTGGAATTCCTCCGAAAAAGTTATTTTGTTGCTTGGACAAATAATTAAAGACTTGATTTTTTTTTGATTTTTAATTAGTCGAGCCAAACTCTCATCCAATCCACATGTCGAATTATAAATTGTAATTTTTAAACTTTCAATATTTCTGCAAATAACTGCCAACCTATCAAAAAAAATAGGATCATCATAAAGATGACAACTTAATTCTTGAATATCTTTAAAAATAGTATTGAATCCTTTATGCTCAACAAGCCCTTTGTAATATGCTTTGGTAATTTTAAGCACTCTGACTCTTGTATACTTTAAAAGAAAATCCACCACTCTAGCTTTCAATATATCAGGTTTGGCTTTTCTTATTTTTTCAAGATCCAATATGGTAGCAAATCTGGCATAGTTGTGTAATGGTTGTGGCAAATCTGATAGTCTAACCTTTTGATAATAACAAATTTTATTTTTTACAAAAAAGTCTTGATCTTCTACCATTAAACATTTAATTATTGTCATAAAGCTCTTATCACAGTAACATGGATCCTTCCATAATATCGGTATAATAATGTTGTACCAAAGTTTACTAACCAGAAGCCAAGAAAACAATGCTCCATAATCATCTTTATTGTATTCAACAACCATATTCACAATTTCAAATGGTAAGGAAGGTAATGTGAGCATTCTAAAAGCTTGAAATTTATCCAATGTTGTCAAGTAGTTGTTGAAGAAAAAATACCTTTTTTTTTTAAAAAAACAATTGATGGTGGTGGGTGTTGTTATTATTGATGGTAGTAATTTCCATTTTAGGGGTAATTTATAATTATGGGGACAGTCACGTATTTTTTTCAACATATTAATATTTTAAAATTTTTTATTTTATTGGTTGGTTTGGATGGGTTAGGCATATTTAGAAATTAAATCGGCGATCGCAGATGATTTTAAAATAATACATAATACTCTCATGGATTTTAATTAGACTTGTGTGCTCTTTTCAATGGGTCCTTGTATTTTTATATTTTAACGATGCTTAAATAAAATTGATGTCCAAACTACCAATTGTTGGCGGTGGTTGTTGTTGTTGTTGTTGTTGGTAAGCAATTTTTCTGATAAATTGTAATGCTTTTACAACGTTGCTTTTCGTTTATTCGTTATTTATTAACCTTTAAATTGTAATTAATTATTATTAAACAATTGATCATTATATATATACATTTGTTTGATAAAAAAAAACTTGGAAGACGTTTCAATTGCAGTTTGTTTGTTTTTAAAATGATTCAAGAAATAGCATACAAAAAGACATACACGGTAAATGGTATTGATTATCATCTATTTGCATTTTGAACAAGAACCACATTTCAACTTTTTCCTAATTTCTCTTTTTTTAATTGACAGGTTTTGCTGCCCTCGCGTGAGACTCAAGTTTTTCATATCAATCTGCTATGGAATAACTGGGGAATATCAGAAACAAATTGTTATTTGAGGGACAAAAAGCTTTGTATGTATTATTAAACAATATATTAACATAAGCCAGAGATAGTTTATTTTTGTCAAACCGGTTCGAACTCAGATTTTAAACTGGATTGGGAAAGCTTATAATGTTTTACATTTTCTCAACCACTCGTCAAGTTTATAAAGATAATATTCGATAAAAATTTTAGTTTTGAAGTGAAAAGAAATACTGTTTTTGAATAAATATAGCTTTACGTGGAGAAACTCTATCAATATGAGAAAGAAAACTGTAATGGCACAGTTTTTAAATTTATATAGTAATAGATATTTTAAAACCCGATTCCGTTTTACATATTAATTATGAATGATCAACTAGTGTCTTCAACATTACCACATGATGTAATAGTGACTTTTTCATTATTCTTACCCTGGAATCTCAATTAGAAGTTTCTGGGTCCTGTTGTTCCAATTGTACAATAAATAGTATCGCAACAAATTTATTAGATAGTTTTTATATATTTCCTCAAGAAAAATCAATTCTTTTTAATTCTGAAGTTGTGTATTGCGCTGTAACAAAGAGAGATGAAAGTTGGAACAAAAAAATAAATATCATGATAATTTTGTTGCATTGAAATTATTAGAAAGTTCTACAACGATGTTTATTTTTTTTTCGTTTCATCCTCCAAATGGATAATACTGTATTCACGTCAAAGCCACAGAGACTTTATCATATCAGGAACGTTCTTGAGAAAAAAGTTCTATAAAAAAAAAATATAAATATTTAGTTTAAAAATTTTTTTTCGTTCCAACTTTCAACTCTCGGCATTCACCATCTCAACACTCTCAACATTCACACTTTCATTCAATACACACTCTCAACCCTTCCCTTACAGCAAATAATAACAGTTGGGAAGAAGTTGATCTTTATATCTATTTTGTCTGCGATAAAAAAGAACACCCACAGCATTTTATGTTTTTCAATTATTTATGACGTTGTTTCCTAGAAGGACTCATAATGACTGCAGGGTGGGTTGTGACCTTTAATAACCACAAGCCTGAATACATTGAATCCTTCGGCGCTATTTAGTTATGCTCTGTAGTTTTACATTATTTAATACACGGTGAGTCTCGGTATAGCGGATAATTTGGGCAATTAGAACAAAAATTTCAAAAATCCGTTATACCGAGATTAATTCAAGTAAATCCGTTAAACCGAGAGAATTTACTTATAGACGGTTCTGAGCTTTGATCCGTTAAACCGAGAGTTTTATTAGACATCCGCTATACCGAGGTCCGCTATACCGAGACTTACTGTGTATTAAATCTAAACCTTCACTCAATACTTCATTTATTTATTATTTCACGCATGGAAGTGATGTAATTTATTTATATCTTGTTTTTATATCTTTGTATTTGTAACGAATATTATAATGAACTTTGAATGTTTGTTTGTATGTATGTATGTTTGTTGTTAGTAATATTAATAGCCAAAAATTTTACTATGTTTTTCTTTTTGATTGATTGATCAATAAATCAACAAATATATATATATACACATAAAATTAATTGTCCTTTAAAAAGATCAATAATAACAATGTTTTTTTCTACCTCTTTTGATTTACACCACTATAACTTAAGATTGATTCATAACAAAAGAACATAATTGCAGCATTTGGTACAACACGCATCATATGTGCACTCATACCACCATAAAATGCTTTAAATCCTTCTTCTTTAAATACTGTTTTGATACATTGGATTAATCCTTTATATTTAAGCACACCATTTTCACCTGGTAATTGTCTCATACGAGTTCTAATTACCTAAAGTCGTCGAAATGAAATTATTGTAAAATTTTGAATAATTAATTAAAAATAAACAGATGCATTTATTATAGCTAACCTCATGTGGATAAGTAATACAAGCTGCCATCAGTTTAGCTGAACCAGCTGCTAACAAATTGTCTATCCAAAGCCAATTAAAATTATTATCTAGCTGCGTTACTAGACTATCAGAACTGTTTCTTTTGTTTATTCGCTCTTTTTCTCTTTTTTCCGCAAATTTTGACTTGAATGATTCATATAAAACCCATTGTATTGTACTTTCCGCCACACCTAATTATTATTAATCATTTTTTGTTATTATTAATTTTTATTTAATATCTGTCAAAAAGATCTTTTATAAAGACTAATTGGTGAATCAATGAAAAATTGTTTAGTGAATTAGTACCTAGATATGAAGCGCTTAATCCTTTATATAACCCTATGAATCCTTCGTTTTTAATAACTTTTCTTATACAATCAAGCGAGTTTTTGTATTTGGTGAGTGTTTGTGGTGATTTATTGGAACTTTGAAGTTGCATACGCGTTTTTACAAGCCATATTGGATTGGTTACGGTGGATGTAGTAATTCCTATACATATTGGAAGAATTAATGTCAACGGAATTGATATTATCATTCATTCATTCATCGATCTCAAATATTTACCTGCTGTAATTGCGGCTGTTAAATGTATTAATGAAGTTTCTTTTCCATCATTTAATTCTATCAAAATTCTTTTTCCATTTCCATATGTAAAAAAATTAATTGCTCTAAAAAAAAATATAAAGTAAAAAATATTAATTGATTTGAAAAAAAAAATTACATTCTTCTTTATATATTTTATATATAGGAGAATAGAAGAAGAAAAAATTCATTACCTTGCTGGTACAACTCCTACTAAATTTGGTCCTAAACCTTTGAATAATGCTCGTGGTCCTTCAATACGATATACACCACTAAAAAATAATACAGATATATATGAGTGAATATACGACGACAGATATAATAATGACAACACTATTAAAAAATAAATGTACATTAAAATTTTTCCAGTTTCAATAAAATGTCCTAAAACTGGTATGTGTCGACCAGTTTGTTTTGTTATATTCAAATTACTTGATGATGATTGATAATATGATGACTAGTTTGTTGTTGTTGTTGTTGTTGTTGTTGTTGTTGTTGTTGTTGTTGTTTTATAAACGTTATATATATTTTTTTTTATTATATAACAAATTAGTAATTCTTTGAAAATTTCGTAAATCAAAAAGTAAAAAGAAAAGAGAGGAATAGATAAATAAAATAGATCTTAAATAAATCTACTGAGACTACTGCTAATAATAATAATCACAATAATAAAAAAAAGTATTAGTTAACTAGTAACCTGTAATCGCGTTTTAACTACATCTAATGGTGAAGTTACAATTGCTCCAACCATACCTCCAAGACTAAAAGAAAAAATCCAAAGGTATTATAGATGAAAGTTTTATTAAAAGCAGTGGTAGTTAGTGCGCATATAAATAAGTTATTATTTTGATACCATGAAAATCTTGTATGCCTACCCTCCCGCTACAAAATGAATCCATGCCTTTGATGTAGACGCAAATTGTTGTTTTGTAGTTGTTTTTGAATTAAATTGTATGGGTGTTATTGATGCAGTCATTTTGAAAATTATTATTATTATTTATGTGTTTTTGTTTATTGTTTTTTTTTTAAAAAAAAAATTAATTTTTTTCGATTTGTTTTTCCAAATTTGGATGGTTAAGATAAAAAAGTTATTTTTTTTTGACAGGTGTAAATAATGCACAAGGGTTAATATTACATATTAATATTAAATATGGAAGAAAACCAGGGTTGCTCTTACCAGCTATGTATGCAAAAAAATTAAATGGGTTCTATCTGGTTTAATTAGCAAAGGAGGAATAAAATCCACCTTTTTTCTTTGCTGGACTATATAATATAGAAGAAGCCGGTTTTTTGAGTCCTCTAATTCGGTAATAGTAATGAAATAACACATTTTGCAGAGATCGTCACAAAAAATTTTATTAACATTTCTCAGCTGGCCTCACATGCAAATAATAATAATAATAATGTATTTGATCCACATCTCACATGTATGGGGGGGCTTTTCAATAGAAAAGTACTATTACTATGGGTTAATACCACTCCTCCCTCATGTTATTATTAAAATTAATGAATGCCTCGTTCCAAAAAAAAATGGGGCATTTATTTGTACTACAGTACGCGCTTATAAATATTTATTTTCCTTTTTTTTTTTTTTTTTGTAATTAAAACCAAAAAGTGAGCAAGTATAATTAAAGAGCCCCGAGCAATGCTAGAAACCGTTTGTTCAAGCTCTGGTTAATTTATACATTTGGCGTCTATATAAAAATTTGTATTCATCTTTTGTGTGATGGATTTAGGTTTTACTATTTAGACGTGTTTGTGTCTTGTGACTGATAAAAAACTTCTTGTGCAACGTTTAAAAAATAGTCGGTGTAAACGTTTAATGATAATTGATAATAAATAATGACTGAATCTCGTATAAAAACCTCTGTTGTTGTTAGTCATGGAACTCATGCATCTAGTTGCGGCTATTGCGATTCGTATGGAAGATCAATTAAATTTGCTTTTACCGCTTATTTGTTAACATGTCAGGTAAAATTATCTTATTAACTATTATATCATGTGGACTTTTATATTTATACTTGGCAATTTTATATATTAAGGATTACCAAGATCTCATTGATCGCGGTTGGCGACGGTAAAATAATTTTATTTAAAGATTACTTTTAATATAATTTTCGCGATAATAGTAATTGTAATAATAAATTAATGAATTTTTGCTTTAATTAGATCTGGAGATTACGTTTATAAACCAAATATGAGAGATTGTTGTTGTCCACAATATACAATAAGGTAAATTTCAAATTTAAATTTTATTTACTAAAATTTAATATATTTAACTAAAGTAAAAATAATATAGGCGAAGAAAATAATATTATTATTATTACAGGTTGGATGCTACCAAATTCCAAGCTTCGAAATCACAAAGAAAATTAATTAGTCGATTTAACAGATATATAGAAGGAACTTACAATCCATTTGATAAAGATGATGTTTCTGATGTTGATAATACAGATAATAATAAAGCTAAACAACAACAATCAAACAAGAAGCCTACAAAAACTTTTGATCTTATTGAGAGTATTCATGAGTCTGAAAAAATTGAAGGAAAACATCAATTCAAAGTACATCAATTTATTCATTAATAATTAACAAATTTGTCGTTTCCAATAACACTAATACTAACAATACTATCAATAAAAAATAGATTGTACTTGAAAAATCTTCTTTTACAAAGGAAAAATATCAACTTTATTTTAAATACCAAACTAATGTTCATGATGATAAAGAATATGAAGTGAGCGAAAGTGGATTTCGCAGATTTCTTGTTGATTCTCCATTAGATGTAATATTTGTTTATCATATATATATATTTATATATATTATATAGCAAAATAATACTAATAATATATATGTCTATATGAAAAAAAAAGTATGAGCCATCATCAAAACCAGATACACCAGGATATGGATCTTTTCATCAATGTTATTATTTGGATGATAAACTTATTGCTGTTGCAGTTTTAGATATTTTACCATCATGTATTTCATCGGTTTATTTTTTTTATGATAATGATTATTCAGCTATGCAACTTGGTAAATACAGCGCTTTAAGAGAAATTGCTATGACATTGGAACTTTATAATGAAGGATTAAAAGATTTACAATGGTATTATATGGGTTTGTATTAAAATCATCTAATTATCTATTTTTATTTTTAATTTTTTTATCAACGTTTATAAAAATTTTTTTTAAATAAAATTATTATTCTTAGGATATTATATTTATTCTTGTCAAAAAATGAAATACAAAGAACAATATAAACCATCATATTTATTGGATCCTGTAATTATTGATTTCCTCATGATTTTATGTATTTGATTTTTAATAATGTAATAAATTTATTTTATTATATAGGTGACATATGAATGGTATCCAATTGAAAAATTTACACCACAATTTGAAAAGACAAAATTTGTCACATTTTCAAATATTTCAACATCAAACACGTCTTTAAAAAGTTCAGCTGAAGAATCACAATCATCATCATCATCACTACCACCACCAGGCATGCTAGATCCTAAAAAAGTCACTGATAATGATATAAGTGATTTAAAACTATTTATAAATGGTGAAATAATTCCTTTTAGAGTAAGTGCTATCAGACTTTTATTTTTAAAAAAATTTTTACTATTATTATTTATTAATTAATTTAATTTTTTTTTTAAAAAAAAAGTCATCATTTATAAAAAGTACAATTATTAAAAACAAATTAAAAAATTTCTATGCTGCTGTTGGACGTGAACTTGCTATAAGAATGGTTAATGTTGAATAAATAAAAAATAAAAATTTTTTGCAGGTTATGTATAATTATAATGGGACAGTATCTTATAGCTATAATAATAAATAATTTATAAAAATAAATACATAAATTTTTTTTTAAACATAATTTTGGATCTTTTATTAATGATTGTTCTTTAAAAAGTTGATTTATTATTGTTTTGATTTAATAGTGCAGTAGTTATTGGTGTTGTAATTAATAATAGTATTAAAGAAAAGGATTGTGATGTTGACGATGATAATATTAAAGATATTAGATTCGTTTTTTTATTTTTTTTTCTATCTTTCAAAGAATTTTTCAGGGGTAAGATTTTAATATTAATTGGCTGTCATTATTACACTTGAGTTTCATTCAACAAAAACACAAAGAAATACATATAGAATTGAAAAGGGCCCATTTTTTAAAATTTACATATTAATATTAATATTATTAATTTTTCTCAGATTGTCTTTTAGGGCAGAAATAATATTCAATTGTGAGAGTCTTTCTTTCTTGGATCGTTTCAGGAATGACTTTTTGAAAAGAAAATTGAAAGAAGGAAGGATGATTCAATCACAAAACAAGTAACCTGAGCTGCAAATTCACTTCTTCGGAGAGCAAGTTGCTAGCATCTATATCCTTCAACTAATTTGACAACTTCTTTTCATCGACCAAATCGTCCACATTTTCAATCAATTACAACTAATTGCGGTTCTCATCAATCTTTCGTCCCCAAATTTATACAACATGCTGTAAACAATTTAAGAGATAAAAGTGTGAAATTTCAGCCTTGAGATTATGATAAAAATGTTAGATTTAGATTAAAAAAATCGCATGAAATTAAATCAACAAAATCAACAAATAAAATCTGTCATACCTATTTTAATTTTCTTAAATTTAATAATAATAATAATAATAATAATAATAATAATAATAATAATAATAATAATAATAATAATAATAGTAATAATAATAATAATATAATGTTTGATAAAAAAGAAGAAAGTTGTATAAGTGATTCTATAAAAATTTCAATTTATTCATTCATTGGATTCACTTTACTGAATTATTTAACAACAATATGTGCTTCGAACTTTACAGTTAAGTAATAAATAATGTTTATAATCAAAAAAAAAAAAAATTTTTAAAATTAAAAATTAATTATAAAATTTTTTTTTTCTTTAACAGAATTTCTATAATAAATTAGATAAAAGAAAACAATCAATTTGGAATAATACATTTGTTAGTTATATTCATGCATGGATTTGTTCTATATTAACTACCTTGTGGTAATAACATTAACAATTAGATGATTTAGATCGTTATTATTATTAAGAAGCAGAAGAAATAATAATTAATTGAATTATTTATAATAGTTTTATTTATTATCCTGAAATATGGAATGATATGATTTATTCAAAGGCAAAATTATGTGCACTTCAAATAGCTTTATCAACTGGTAAAAAAATTTATTCTTTCGGTCAATCCCTGCTTGGATATCTTTAGATTATTATTGTTAATACTAATACTAATTTTAATGAACATATTACTGCTTTAGGATACTTTTTTGCGGATATGTTTGATTTTTTAATAAAAAATATATTTATGGATTCACCTGGAATTTGGTTTCATCATATTTTAGTAACAGCAGTATTTATTTCATCCACCTTGAGTTGTAAATATTTTCCATATTTAACAGCAACACTGTTGGTAGAAATTGGTAATATTTTCCTACATCAACGTAAACTTTACTTGACAGCCTATAAAACAAAAGTTACTTTTATTTACAAATTGAACTCATTATTATTATTATTATCATTTATTTTTGCGAGGATATTATTACATATGTATTTATTAGTTAGAGTTTGGAATGAATATGGTTTATTTGATAGTTTAAGAAATTGGAGAATTGCTTTTTTTGGTATGATATTGATGAATATTTTAAATTTACAATTATTTCAACAATTATGGAGTTCAGATTGGAAAAACATTTTATTTTCCAATAATAATATAGATAAAAATAAAATCAAATTAAAAAAAATTATAGACGATAATTTAGACAAATATTAATAATTATATTAAATATAATAATAATGATTTTTTTATTTTCTCAATGATCTCATACTAAATTATTCTATAAATTATTCTATAATCAATTAATTAATAAATAATAATAAATAATAAATAAATAATAAATTACAGTTAAATAAATATATATTGTATCTCATCAAATGTATTCCTTTATTAAAAGTAACATTCTATTAAAAATTCTTAAAGTTAAACCAATCTATTTTCTTAGCTTTCTTCTATTTGACAAAACGGTTTTTTCTCTTTCTTCTCTAATCAATTTTTCTAATTCGGGTACAACTGCAATATTTGTGATCTTCCATAAATCACAAAAATCCTTTGCTAAATCAGCAGGATCATCATTAACATGAACATAAATGGTTTGTGAGCAATCTTTCTCAAGTTCAACATTAATTGTTAGTAAAAGTTCACCACGTTCATGTTTATCAACACGCCTTGGTGTCTTTTCTACTGCTGGGCTATCATCAATTTCAATTTCATCATCAGTAGGCGGTGGTGAAGATGATGGCGAGGATGGTGACGGTGATGATGATTGATTCCAATATGGAGTTGAATCAAATTCTGGAGGAATAAAAGGTATATTATAATTGTTTTGATGTGATTTATTTTTTGCAGGTTTTGAAGCTGGTTTGTTGTTTTGGTCAGATTGTGAATCTTTGATAGCAGGTTTTGTTTTTGTTTTTGACTTTGGTTTTGTGCTTGAACTAATATCATTATTGTTGTTATTGTTATTGTTTGCTTTAGATTTTAAAGTGTCTTGATTTGTATCATTTTGCTTTGGCTTGGTCTTCCAATTAGAAGAATCTTGTGATTTTTTTGATTGGTGGTGATTATTTTTTTGATATGAATTATTTCTCTGATGATTATAGTGTTGTTTTTGTTGCTGTGACTTTTGTTTTGTTGTGGATGTAGTAGATGTAATAGATGATGTTGACGATTGACGATTGTGTTTAGATTTATTAGATTTGGATTTGGATGGTGTAGACTTATGTGTAGGTTGTGAATTTGGATTTGAATTTGGGTTTGGGTTTGGGTTTGGATGTGAAATCTGAGATGTTGGTGTTGGTTTCAATGATGACGATTTTTTAGATTTTTTATTAGGAACTTTTTTCTTTTGTATTTCTAATAAAGTTTTTTCATCAACTGGAATGAAATTTTTTCCTTGACGATGTAATTGACCTGTACCCAAACCATCTTCTCTCTCTTTTATATCAGGATTAGCAAGAGAATGCCATGACATTGCAACAGTTTTTATATCCTTCGAATCCAATTCTTTTTCAGACTCTTCATTTATTGAGGATTGAGTATTTGAAGGAATTGCTGGAATTGGTTGATATGAAATTTGTTGTGGTGGTGGTGGTTGTGGTTGTTGTTGTTGTTGTTGTTGTTGGAATTGTTGTGGTTGTTGAAAATGTTGTGGTTGTTGGAATTGCTGTGGTTGTTGGAATTGTTGCGGTTGTGGTTGTTGTGGTTGTTGGAATTGTTGCGGTTGTTGAGGATAATATTGAAAAGCAATTGATTGTGGCTGTGGTGCCAATAATGGTTGTGGTGGAGGTTGTGTTAAAAATGGTTGTTGTTGTTGATGTTGCATTTGCTGGGTATTAGACCAATTTGTTTGCTGTTGATGCTGTTGCTGCTGTTGTTGATATTGTTGTGTTTGAATTTGCGTAGACGGTTGTTGTACTTGTTGCGAGTATATTATTTGTGGTTGAGGTTGAGGTTGTTGCGAGTTCGTCCAAACTGTTTGTTGCAATTGGCCATGTGGTTGTGGTATAGATTGTAATTGTGATGGTGGCAATTGAGACGATTGTGATGGTAATTTTGATACATATGGTAGAAATTGAGGTTGCAGTTGTAAGTTATTATTATTACCATTATAATTGTAATAGTTGTTGTTGTTGTTGCTGTTATACCATGCACTTTGATAATTGCCATCATAATTATTTGCGTATGCTATATTATTGTTACCATTAACATTACCGTTGCTGATGTTGTTATCACCATTGCTAATACTATTAGTGTTATATACAGTCCTCTCAGATCCAACTGGAGCAGCAATACAACTAGTATTTACATCATCTATAACATCAAGTTGTTTAACACTACCACCACCACCTTGATGTAAACTGTTTGAATCTACTACTTGTGTTGAACTATTATTGTTGCTCGCATCATTCCATCCATTCTGTGCTAAATTCTGCATAATGGTTGTTATTTTATTTTATTGTAAATATAAATATATTTTATTTCAAATTTATTATTATACAATGGACTTTTTTTTTCCGCACAAGTGACGTAAACATTTTAATAATAATATTAAGGAGTGTATATTTACAATAAATTTCTAAAACTGATTTCATGTCCCTGCTGCTAACAAAGTTCAAATTAACGGCTAGATTTATTTCATTATATACAATTTTTGTTTTTTTTCAACCTCCTTGAACTTTTATATGTCAACGAATATTTGATATTAAGCTAGAAACTAGAATTGATGGCTTGTCCTATCATTCAAACTACTAATTGTTGGTAAGTATTTTTTCTGAACACTATTACTATATCTAGTTACAATTGATTATCATACTGGAATAAAACCAGACAAGGCGAACGTGGGGTTAAACATCATACTCTCTTAAATGATAGATATGAATATTCCTATTACTAAAATTAGAATGTATGAACTAACTATGAAACCTAAAAATTACAGTACTATTAGAAGTATTTTTTTTTTAAAAAAAAAAAGAACAAAGGGAGATGATTTTTTCAAAAAAATAACATCAAGTCCGTCCAAGAAGATTTAGATAACTAATAAAAGAGTATTAACAGAAAAGAAAATTCGAAGAGAAATAATTTACTTCCTTGATAAATTAATTACCAGTGTTAAATAATATGAGATGTGTATATTGATGTGAATTGGTTTGATTTCCTTGGGATTATTCCCTCTGATTTCTTTTTTAGACGAATTTTCTCACTTATCTTTTTTGTAACTTGTTCTTTTTTTCTTGGTAATGCTGGTAAAGACTTATTAGATAAATATAATTCTTGTTTTAGTTGCTGGATTTCTTGGGCTTGTTGATTTATTTCATGATTTTCAACTGTCTTTAATTGCTTTAATTTCTCAGCTAATTATCATCTTCTTCATTCTTGAGCCATATCCAAGGCTTTCAAATGAGTTTCAGCATCTAATTCTGCCTTTTCAGGTTGTTTCATTCAATTTTAATTATTAGTTGCTCCTTTTCTTCAATTTTGCTGATCTTCAACTCCTATTGCTTTATCATAGGATACTGTTTACATCTTCATCAGTTGGTTCATGACATTTTAAACTATTTCAGCAATGATTTTCATATTCTTTTCAATTTTTTCTCTGATTCATTCTTTTGCCTTTTTTAATTGTAATAATTGATTATTTTCAGGTGCTTGAATTTCTTTTGTTTCATAACACAAAAATTTTATGTTGGCTTTGTGAAGTGATTTCTTTATATTCAAATATAAATTACTATTTCACAGTAAACACAAGGCTTCGCATATTGATAATTTCACATCATATTGATTGATTTATTATCCTTCATATGGTTTTACAAGACCTTGTGCATATTTCTTGGTAATTAATTGATGACAGTTCACTAGTAAAGATAACTATTCCACCCTTTAAGTACTAACACTAATTAATAATAATATTATCAAGAAAAAAGGGTAAATTTTTTAAAAAAATACTTGAAGATAATTTTCTTCTCCTTTATAAATTTCTTTAGATCCAAGAGCCATGAACAGAATAAGGTTGATGGCTGTCTTATTGAGTATGAGAGAAGGAATTTCAAAAAGATTTGTTAAGTTCACCTATATAGGGGTTTGATTCCAAGTAGTATAAGAAATTTTTGCTTCATTTACTAAAACAGGGTTAAGACAGATTCGTGCATCAAAATTTGTAGAAAGTCCATGATGATTTTGGACTAAAAAAAAGCATAATAAGGTGAGTTGAGTTGATATCTTGTAAATATTATAGTTTAAAAGAGTCATACATCTTCTAATTGCTTTCTGCAAGATTAATGTTGAATTTTTTGTTTAATATTAACAATATGTTGTGTGAAAATCGAATCGTGTGAATAATAACGCTTCTAATTTGGTATAATCACGTGATATGTTACCGCTTCCCATAAATTTTCAATTTCTTCCGAATATTTTATCACTAGTAAGTTGATTTGATTTACATTTTATTTTTTAAGTTGATTATTTTACCGATTTTTGATTTATATCATAGAATTATTTTTATAGGTTTTTATAATGGAGTAAAGAAAGAGCCCATAAGCACTATTTTTTATTTCCCTAATTGCTATGAACATACATAAAAGATATTGATTTATATATATGTTTTGTATTTCATTTTTTTTTTCAATTAGAAAGAAACCGGCGAGTTCAATAGGCCTCTCATGAGATCAAAATCGTCTCACATGCATTGGTGTGTAGCAAGGCCCGACAATTAAAAATCTTAAAGATAATCACTGGAGCTATTTCATACATTTCACCTGAAGTATTATCAACCTCCCACCCCATATACAAAAGAATCAGGTATTTACAGTTTAGATAATGTAGGAGTTGCTACAGGAAAGAAACCATTCTATGATAGATCACATAATCATTGTCTTAAATTAGATGTCATGAGTGGCGAAAGATCTCATATCACAAATGATACTCTGATCTCTATTCCGAATTGATGAAAAAATGTTGGGATCATAATCCAAAACATAGACCAACTATCAAAGAATTATTAACTTGTGCCTTTGAATATTATTATCCACCTGGAGAGAAACTTGATTTAGCTGGATCCAGGCAATAAGAAATTATCAATCCAGAAAAGTTCCTGCCAGATAATGAATGAAAGAAAGGATCAGAAAACTACTACTTTATTTATTATTTCCATCATCCATTATTTTTGTTTTTAACAATCATGTATACAGTTCACTCTCTCTATAACAACCCTTTCTATACCGAACACTAATACTAAGTAAACATTGCACTATAACGAACTTCTCTTTTGATTTTTTACTATTAATATATCCCTATTGCGAACAAAGGCACAAAAAATAGATATAGCCCAAAAGTTCATTATGGCGAGAGTGAACCGTATAACATATAAAATGAGAATCTTGTAGTTTCATGTTTATTGAATATGATGGGATGATGATGATTTATCATTTTAATTTACAAAAAAATTTTAAAATGATAGAAATAAATATTTTGAAAACTTCCTCTTTAATCCAATAACATTGATTAGCCAATTAGTTAATAATTGTAATTGTTGCCTCAATCGTTATTATTGTTTAGTAACAGTGGCGAAGACGGCGACGATTTTCTAAATTATTACTTTATCATTTATAATACTAAATGGATTTCATCATCGCTATCACTGTCATTATTATGACTATTATTAAGATTATTATGACTATTATTAAGATTATTATGACTGTTACTGGGATTATCGTGGGTATTATCTTGAACCATTTCTTCATCTTCATCCACGTCCTCAATACTATTACCATCCGCTTCTCCATCTACAACATCATCATCGTCATCGTCATCGTTATCATCATTATTATCATCATCATCGCCATCATCATCATCATCATCATCATCGTCGTCATCATCATCTATATTATGCATTACTAAATCCTCATTATCTTCCTCTTCTTCCTCCCCTGTAGATTCATCATCATCTTGAACATCATCTGCTGTTTGCGCTCCTTGTACATCACGCTATATATAAAAAATGCAGTATAAATAAATAAAAATAAAAATTGGAAGAAAAGGCAAGAAAAAATAACATACTGAATCATCTTCACCAGCTTTAATTCTATATTTTCCTGGAATAGGTAACCTTTTTCCTCTATCATTTATTGCTTTTAACTTTTTATTTTGTTCAATTTAATTATTTATTATTTTATAGTAAAATATATCACGATTATTAAAGAATAACAGCAAAACAATTACAACAATTTATTTATCTATTTATTTATAATGTAATAAGTAAGGAAAAATAAAATATACACATACTTGCGATTCATACTCGCTTTCTTCCTTACCTATACTTATGCATTCATTTATTATAGCATGTTTATATGCCCAGGAATTTATTATTGTGCGGGGTTCAAGTGAAGGTGTCCAAAGGTGTGATGAAGGCATTAATTTTTTTAAATATGAGGAAGGGTGTATGTAGTATATAGATATAAAGAGAAGTTAATATTAATATAAATTAATATTAATATTAATATTAGTATATAATGATATTTGATCAACGTTCGTGTAACTTACAAAAAGTTTGATTGAAATAATAACGATGAATAATAAAAAAAGTTATATTGTATATAGTGAAGAATTTAATATAAATGATATGGATAAAGATGGTAAAAAATTTGATCGAGGTTAGTTTCTCATCCTCCTCCATTCCATTCTTTTTCGATCAAACAGCCAAAATTGAGATTAATCAATCCTTTTGTCTGAAAATAAAATCCAAGTATCAAGATTTACAGGACGTAGTGAATCAGGTGATGTAGAATTAATACTAGATGTTAATATAGATTTATATGCTTTGGATATTGGTGACAAGATAGAATTGTTATTATCGACAGGTTTAGCAATGAACTCTGAAAAAATAGAAGAAAGTATGGTTATTGAACGTGAAGACAATTCACAAAAGGCTTCTTGGCGAGAAAAGGTCTCGAATGAACCAGATTTATCAGATAATTATGAATATGTTATGTATGGTAAAGTATATAAATATGTTGAATATCAAGCTGGAAGAATGTAAGCAATTATTATTGTGATTGTTTTCGATATATTTTAAAAAAGGATTTTATTCTAATTTATCTTTTACATTTTATATTTGCATATTTATTTAGTGGTGTTTTTGTATCATTTGGTGGATTATTAATGTCAATTGAAGGAAATCTTTATCACTTGCATAAACTTAATGTTGGTCAAAATGTTTATTTATTGGTTAGACGAATAAATGAGTCATAAATGACGAAGAAAAAAAGAAAAAAGAAAATATTTATTAGCATTCAAATAGAAATCATAATATGTAAATTAGTTTCATATTTATATTTTAAATTTCTTTGTAACCTATTATTGGTTTTGTTATACGGTATGCCTATATTATATTTAAAATAAAAGTATTTTAGTTGATCTTTCAAATTTTTTATTTACTAATGAAACCTAAAAACATTTTAAACATATATTATCTAAGTAAGTTATAAAATAATTATATTATATAATTATATAATTTACATATAAAATCATGTTGATATAAAAATCATACCTTTTAATAATTACTAATTGGTATTAAAATCCAACCAATACTAAGAATTTTTTAAATGAAAAAACTTTATATATTCTTTAAAGTTTCTTTTCCATCCTATTGCAGAATTTATAGCATCTTCAACAAGCATTACATATTAATTCTCGAGTATTAGTAGATATACTTTCCAAGAATTTAATGTGTTGTTTATTACAAGAATAATGTAATTTAACAGGTGGCAAGAATATTTCTTTATTTCCTTGTTTTATTTGCCTCGTCCAATGACGTTTCATGTACACGTTCTGTCATAAAATTCGAAGATGCTATAGTAGAACCACACCCAAATGTTTTAAATTTCAAATAAATTATTTCACCACTTTGCTCATCAATTCTCATTTGGAGTTTCCACAGGCCAGTGCTCCTAAAAGTCCTATACCAACATTCGGATCTGATTTTGAAAGTGAACCAACATTTACGTGACCGTTCATAATGCTCAATGACTTATATATAATATATTTATTTATTCATTCATTTATTTATTTATAAGTTTATAAAATTAATATCTAACAGAAGGTTGCTGCTTTTATTTATTTATTTAAATTCATCTTTTACAATTGATTTAATGTAAATATTTTGAAATTGAAAATTAGCCAATCAAATATAAGAGCGTTTAGGTGAAAAATTGCCAATTTCATTTTCACGTAGGTGAATATAGATTATACTTTCGCATAACAACAAAACTAAAGAAATAGAAGATTGAAATTATTAGCGTGACCAAAACCATTAGATGCAATGGGCACACGTGTTTATCATGTAATAAACTTTACTTTCAACCATCTCTTCTATACTAACTAAACCTTTGATTCTATATGCATGTATTCCTTTATTTGAATTATCTTTAAAGATATGATATAATCTTTTTTTAAGAAACGATTCTTTGAAAATAAAAATGAATTTAACCGATTATTATTATTGTTATCAATATCATAACCCTTTTCTCTTCAATCAAGTTCATTCAAATTGTCAAAATAAACTTTCTAAAGAACAATAAAATTTATTGGAATTAATTGGTGAAATAAGTATGAAAGCCAAAGTTAAACAGCTAACCAAACAGGTATATCTAGCCTTGGTTGTTTATTTTATTATTTAAACAATTGATATAGGTATTACTTTTATATTGATTCAATTGATTGTGTTGAAACTTTGGTAATAATAATAATAATAACGAAGTTGTTAATGTTAAAAATATTTCTTTGAAATCAACACAAGCACTTTAATGATACCCACAAGCCTTTGGCTTCACTTCGATGCAACAATAACTCCATCTATTGTCAAGAAATATGAGAAATATGATAAAATTTTACAAATGTAACGGTCATTAATAGGGTCAATTAATTTAGTATTATGGTCAATCCGCGGGTCAAATGTTGGTTAGGTTTAATAGAGTCAAATCTATTAATAGTCAACGATTTATTAGGGAGGGGAACCAAAAATTTGTTACAGTAGACAGTTTCAAAGTTTTTAATGTTAGTATATATTATGAGTCAAATTATGTTCTGTTATTGCAAACTTTAGGGACAAGTTATATATTAAACTTAATTTTGGTCTGGTTAAATTATATAACAAACAGGAATTTTTGTCAATGACCTATCTATGAAGTTTGCGAGGTCCTGTTTGAATATTGACAAACCAATTTAATTTAAAAAAGTCAATTTCTCGATTAAAGCAGATTATATATATTATTTTTAAAGATGATGTGGTGGAACCAGTACATAAACTTCATTTTTGGGAACTAGAAAATAAATAAATAAATTGATAAATATATTTATAATTATAATAATGATGATAATACTATAATACCTTTCTCACCAAACACATTTGAAAGCTTTTGACGCTTAGCATTATTAAAAGAATATACATTTCTTTTACTTTTATTCGTCTGGTCATAACCACTTAAATCTATAGTAATAATAGTATTATTATTATTATTATTATTATTGGAAAAAAAATTTTTTTTAAAGTATAGAATAATTACCAGAATTGGAATCAGCAGATTTTTGTTTTCTTGGTCTTGATAATTTTGTAACTTTCTCTTTAACTGTGTGTTTTATTTTCCACCATGTACCAGGAGGTCGAACAGAACGACCAGATTTGGTTTTTCCCTCAGATTCAGAACTTTTATTACCTTCAATTTCAACACCATTGTTGTTATTGTTGTTATTATCAACAGTTTTTTCATTCTTTTCCTCATAAAGATTAACATCAACACCAACTTCTTTATCATTATCTTCTTTATCGCCAACTTTGTTATCATCATTTTTGTTATTAATATCAATGCTATCATTATAATTAAGATCATGATTAATATTATGATTAATATTATCATGCTTAATGTCACAATTAACATTAAATATAATATCATTATTAATATCATAATTAATATTATCATTATTGGTATCATTCTTAACATCATCATCATCATCATTACTCAATTTTTCATCAAGTTTGAGTTTAGATCCAATAATATCAATTTGTACATTTGCTTTTTGGCATGAATCTTCAAGATTTTCAAACGGTTCTTGATTATATTCACGAATCAATGCTTCTTTCCAATTTTCGGGAAAACCTTTTTTAAATTCCTCACACAATTCCAACGAAAATCCTAGAAACACAAAATTTAATAAAATTAAATAAAAAAAAATTATTCCTTCAAAAGGTTAATCTTAAATTACTGAGTGACCATCTTCAATCATTGGAGTTAATGATGGTTCTCCTTCCAATATATAATAACTATTTTTTATCGTCTTTATCACTTTTGTATCTATTCTTTCGGTTATTAGCGATGAATGCCATTGCTACAATCAAATTTAAAAAATATATTACAATTATATAACTACCATAAACATTTATTTTAATAAATTATACATCATACATACAAGTAAACTATCAGAAATTCTTCTTTCTCCACGTACTGATATCCAATGTTCTGTATCTACTTGCAACTTAATGTCCCAGAAAATTTTTTTTGAATAATTGGTAATTATATATATATAAATGCGTATATATACATATAATACATACAAGTTTTTTTTGGTCTGTTGGTAATTTAATACATATTAAATGCCAATTCAACAAGTTGACAAACGATTTTGGTGGATTATTTGGAGTGGTAGAATTCATTGCAAATTCAAAAGAAAAAAAAGAAAAAGATTTAATAAATTTTAAATTTTAAATTTATTTTGATTTAAGTCATATGATTATACAATTTGATCGTCCAATCAAAATTAAAGGTTCCGAGTATTCTGAATTAGCAGAAAAATAATCTTGTAAAGTCAAAAAAGTCAAACTAATAGTATAAATTCATGCTAATCTTATTCATTTTGGCCTTTTCACTTAGTTGGCTTAATTCTGTTTGTTTTTATTGAGTCACTATTTTGCTTTTTTCTTCTGTTTTATCAGTTCAGGTTTTTTTGCCTTTCTAATTTTTAATTTTATTCTGGAGCTCCTGAATAAAATTCTCACTTTTTCCTTAAATATTTAATTGCTTTTCCAGGCTAATAACTTCTTTTGTAAATTATTATTTTCGCGAATCAATTATTCAACGGATTATATTTTTAATAAAGGAGATGATTTTTAAAATAATATTTTATAAGAACATTAAATTCATTGTCCTTAAATACCTCCTTCAAGTTATACAAGCAATGTAACAAAGGTCTTAGCTTCAAAATTACGATCTGTCTTACATTCCATTTTTGGGAAAGTATAATATTATGAAAGAATCGTGGGTGATTTTCAGATTAATATGTGTAACTGAAGTATGATGATGGTTTAATATTTCTCTCGTTTAAATTATATGCACCTACACTATTATGATATTAAAGGAAATGACCGCATGCTTTTAGCTGAAAATACTAATCTTTTGCGTGATTGTGATAAAAAAAAACAAAGTGCTTATCATTATTTTTGATTATTTTGATTGTTTATTAACTAAACTAATTACTAAATTAATCAATACTTTCTAATTTAATTAAATGAATAGAGAATCAAAAGGCAAGCTAAAAAACATAAAAGCAAAGTAACATGTATGCAAAAAAAAGGATCAGGAATTACAGGAAAGATGTAAAGAAATCGAGGAAAAAATTATTTTACTAAGAGATTATTAGAAGAAAGATAGAAATATAATTAATTAAAAGATAGGAGATTCTGTGAATTTGGATTTGGATTTGGAATAGTATCATCATCATTGCAATATTAAAATTAATAATAATACTAATATTATTATTATTGAAAATGGGTGTTGGAAATGGTAATAATGGAGGTGGTGGCAGTGGTGATATTTGTATTTGTGATTTATTGCTACTAAAGACCTTCTTTCAATTGTTCTGATACTAAGTTAATTAACTTTTGATTTTATTTTATTTTTTAAAGAAAATAAAATAAAATATGAAAATCAATTTATTTGAAATCCTCGTCATCATCATTTGAAGGTGGCGCAATTGCTATTCTACATTTAATAATAATAAAAATAATATTATCGTAATTTTGTATACATTCATGATTATTATAGATTATTGTATATATTACCATCGTCATAACTCTATTTATCAGTAAAATCTAAACGACTAGTATTTCTGATGTGTGCATGATTAAAAACGACCATCCTTTATGAGAAGAAAGTATCATCATAATTATTATTATTAAAAATTCAATAAATTTAAAATTCAATTGCAAATAATAAATTACCATAGTCAACAATATTTCTTTGGACATTTAATTTTATATCAGTAAAGTACAATAAAAAAATATCTAATATGTTGATCTAAATCCTTATTACATATTATATATGTACATGTGTGTAGCCTTCATGATAATAAAATTTACAATATATTTTTCATGCCACTATCAATAATATTAATATTATAACTACCTTTCTCTAATCCATCCCTATTCATTAATAAATGATCTCTGATCATTTTTAATCTTTCCAATGCAGTTTTTTGATGTGGATTGTTTTGATCATTATCATTATCATTATCATTTAGCATTTCATCTCTTGCTTCTTTAATCAGTTTCTTTATAAATTTAGGTATCCCATAGACATCATCTGTATATCTTGTTTGTTTTAAATATTCCAAAATATCTTCAGACTCTAAAAATCCTTCAACGTCCTTATAATTATAACTATGACTACTTGCATTGGCATCAATATTAGCAATCTCTCTTTCTTCTTCTTCTACAGTATTATTATATATTTCACTTGTGTAATTATTTGAATTTAAAAATTCAATAATTTCTCTTCCGTCATCATCACCTTCTTTTTCTTGAATTGACCTACTTGTATTCACATAATCATAATCATTATACTCGTCTCCATAATTATAATCATTATACTCGTCCCCATAATTATAATTATTATCATTTACCCAATTTTGATATTTTTCTTCTTCGCCAGAAGAACGAAACTCTGATATAGAATCCTCTAAATATAAATCATTATTGTTATTATTACTATTACTTTGATTTTGATTTGAAATATGTTCTTTCCATCCTTGATGTTTAAATATACTACTACCACCATTACTATTAATATTATTTATTATGGATGATGAACTTGGTTTTATAAAACCATTACTATTATTATTTACAAAATTTTCTAAATTTGGGGTGGTGGTTGTGGATATTACCTCATTAAACAATGTTTTTGCTGACGTAGTCAATTTACTAACTGTTAATTTTCCTTTATCTACTTCTAATTTATTATTGTTGCTATCATTATTATTATTGTTATTATTTTCTATTGTCGAATTTGTTGAATTATTATTCTCTTTCATACTTATTATTTTTTATAAAAAAAACAAGATCTCGCATAATCCGTATCACATTACAAAAATTTTTAGTTTAGTATTAGTATTAGATGGAGTACACTTCGTGCAATGAGTAATTGTACAATTATTTAAGTTGTTTAACTTGCATGCCTTTTTTGGGTTGTAATTTTACTCGGTGTAAATGTTCAGATATCAATCATGTGATCCACAATTGTCCTTTACATTCATACATGAATAAATGATTATATAAGACACACATCTATAAGATTCTATTTTTGAATTCCGATGAATTTTTAAACAAGGTAAAATAATATTTTTTTTGTTATAATTTTAAATCTAATTCATGTTATAACTAAAATCAATATTTATTTAAATTTTTTCAAGACCCTATTGCAAAAGATTATTCGTTTATGAAAATCATCAGGATCATTTAATAAACAGGTGGTTTCTATTCATCATGATCTTTATGATCTTTATATATAGTGATAACATTCTTCAATTAAAAACATGATAATGCTATTTATTCATCAACAATTAAAAACAGCATAGTAGGAATGTTGCCATATTTGACACCTGAAATACTAAATAAGACTTGAGCCATATACAATGGCACCAGATATTTATAGTTTTGGAGTATTAATGTCAGTAACCCTTTCAGTAATATTTCATGTGATGTAGAATTAAAGATCTTGGTTCTCAATTAACACTCCTAAACTTGATATTGAATTGGCATACAGATGCATGGAGTAAACATCAAAAGAGCTAATGAAATTAACAAAGCATTTATTATTATGGACGGCTCAGACAACTTGTATAACCTGTATGGAAAATATTGTCCTGAAAATGATGTTTTGACTCTTCAACATTAATATTATTCTTATATTATATAATAATTCAAGTAATGATTACAAGATTTATAATACCAACTACTGTAATTCTGAAATTGAAGAACTTATAAACAAAAGTCAAGTGCCAAATACTTTATCAAACACAAATATGTGGATTCAAAAAGATTAGGTACTAAAGCATATCTTGGTGAAGTATTAGTTTTGATTCAAGGAAATCTTTTCGTGTAGCTGAAGAAGCTGGACTAATTGAATATAATTCTTCACAACCACAAATAATTGTTATTGAAGTTAATTATTTTTGCTTTTATAAATGCGTTGAGCCCTAACATTTTTCGTATAGGAGCCAGGAAATTAATTTATATATTAATATATATATATATATTATAATGAATAAAAAATTGGCAACGAGAATCACTATCTAGTATATTTTCAACATTATCGTTCCCAAGAGCAAATAATGTTGATGATAAAGATTAGTTACAAAACTACCAAATGTGATGAAGAGTTAATCTGCCTAATTATTCATTTGTTTAAAAAGGATCTTATTGATATTGATAAGTACTAATATTATCAAAATTAGGTTGGCCCTGTTAAGTAACTTTTCTCGTAAATCCATTGTATGTATATATGAACGACATACTAAAGAGATGGCGATCTCAAAAACAAAATAGATAATTATGAACAATCTATCTTAACAATTCAAAATTACCAGCATTTGATGAACGACTCAAGGAATTGAGAGGAACAGAAAACAAGATGCTTCGAATTTCTGACAACTCAACAAACAACAAGGTAAGCTTATCATTTGTGTTTTTTGAGAGGATATAAACTATAACTAGAATACTTAATTACTTCTCAGCATTCTCTTATTTTGTTTAATCTAATTTTTACTTGGTGTATTTGTTTTATTTTATTTAATCAAAAAAAAAAAGAAAACTGGAAAATTCGAGGAAAACGAAGGCCAAGACAAAAATAATAAAAGATAACGGGTGTGTGATATACTGTAACCACACCTTTTCCTAGTTGTGCAATTTTGAAATGTTGATGCAAAAACTTTTAACAGCAGGCAGAATATTGTTATTTATTTTGCACCCAATACATCAAGTTAATTTCCGGATGTCTTTCTTAATCCACCAGAAATTCTGTTATAGTTTCAGGAGTAGGTAGGTCCTTTCAGCATTTGTATGAATATCATAAGAAAAATAGTACAATCAATATATTGCTTCCACGAGATAAGAGAACTGATCAAGAATAAAGGGGAAAACAAAAATTAGGCTTTAAATTATTATTCTGCTGACCAACAAATTCCTAATCAACCATCAAATAAGTTAAAACGCAAAAAAACTTATACAAACTTAGAAGAAAAGGCACTCGTGCTTTTTTTCGATCTGAACTTACCAAACTGATTCATTTGATAGTAAAACATTTATGGGTCTAATGATTTGTCTAGTTTTCATTTTCCATTTATCACTATCTATTGATATCTTTATTTATGATCCAAAACTCTCCGAAATGGTTTCAGGAATGGAGTCTACTGGTACTGTAGTAATGATCTATTCGATGATATAATTTTTGCAAAATTAATTCTGATTTAAAAAATTTTGTCCGATAAATTTTTTAAAAGTTTAGGATTTTAAACTTTCCCGTAATTGGTTTCGGTTTCATCTTTATCAACTAACTTGTAACGGTGCGATATAAAAAATTTCTTTCTATTTCCCCACACGGGTTTGTAAAGGCTTTCACAACCAAAACCTAAGTTTTGTCGTTATAATTGATCAAGTTTTGGCAATTCATCTAGATAATTTTCGTTCGTGGAAATAAACTTTCAATTAAATCTAAACAGTCATGATAATACTAGCTAGTTATTTACTGTAATTGATTGAATTAATGAACATAATAAATTATAGACATTAATATATTATTATAATTACCTGTCCGCAAATCAAATATCTTTAGTTTTGTCATTTTCGTTATTGCAATTATCAGTATAAGTTGGTCAATTTTGAGTGCATAGTTCATGGCTATTTCTATCTGTTCAAGCACACAACTGTTGCTTTGGAATAAGTTTTTTCCATTTCAGGACAATTTCAACAGATTGGAACCACAGGCAGCTAGAGCAATTTTGTGTTTAAAGTCATGGATTCAAAATAAAAAATTAATGCTTTATTAATTTTATAATTATAAATATAATTATTGATATTTTCTATCTTGGAACATTTCCTTATTTTGCATTAGGCAATAAAGTTTTGAAAAAGAGACAACGTGCATAGAATGAATTCTTTATTATCAAATATTAATCTTTACATCATAAATCCAGATATTATTTTTAATAATGGGGCATTCACAAAGTTCAGAGGTTTAACAAAAATGAACTACCAACAAAGCTGATTTTTTTGTTTAAAAAACTTCCTATTTATGGTGAGCATCGAACAAAACTAATTGACTTATTTTAAAGATTTACTATATATAAAGCGCTCTTGACAAAATTTTAATATCCCATAGTTAGATTAACATGAATAACTGTTATATGAAAATACAGAAAATTGATGAATAACAAACTTGAAGACGGAATCATTTGAGTTATAATTGTATTAAGCCATTTTAATATTAATAATTATCACATAACACACATAAAAAATTTGTTTATTATTGATTATATGTCCAACTGGATTTACAAAAAAAAAACATGAAAAAGATAAAACTAAATAACCGAACTATCGTATTAAAATTAATATTTAATATCTATTATTGTTATTGTTAAATAAAAAATTTTGAATAATTTGAAGTTGTTGAGATAACATGTAGATAAGTAATGGCAGTTGATCATTGTTTTGATTGAAATTATTCGCGATAATAGAACTTTGATGAACATTTTGATTAAAACTATTGTCAAAACAACCATTCGGATAATCAATGTTTGTAGTAATAGATGGATTCTGGTCAACAATATCGTTGTTATTATTGTTGGTTGTGAAGCTTTGGCCAACGAAACTAATGCCTGGGATTTGATTGGAAAAATTAATTTGATGAATTAAATTACCGCCGCCAGAGTTTTGATGAATGTAATTATTGTCTCCAGGGTTTTGATGAATGTAATTGTTGTCTCCGGGGCTTTGATGAATGTAATTGTTGTCTCCGGGGCTTTGATGAATGTAATTGTTGTCTTCAGGGTTTTGATGAATGTAGTAGTAGCCGGCAGTTTGATTGCCGTAATTGTTGTAATCATTAGGAACAAAGTCTTGATTATTAACACCAACATCATTAATACCAATATCATTAATATCAATATTATTATTATTATTATCAGAATAATTTTGATCCATTTTTTATATGTTGATTATGAATTGAGTTTTTATTATATATTGATTATGAATTTATTTTATTGAATTTATTTATTAATGATTATAATTATTTTTTTAAAAAAAAATTTTCGAATTATTATATATATTTTTTTTATTTTAATTTTTTTTTTATATAGTTATTTTTTTATTTTTTTTACAGTAAATCAACTCTAAATTTATACAATAATAATAATACTCCCTCACACACCTCACACACCTCACACACCTCACACACACATATTCATAAATCCAAATTTTTCACTAAAATTTTTATTTTTTTTTTAAAAAACAACAACTTTCAACCAATCAATTATTATATGTTGATTATGAATTATTTATTAATGATTATAATTATTTTTTAAAAAAAAATTTTCGAATTATTATATATATTTTTTTTATTTTAATTTTTTTTTTATAGTTATTTTTTTATTTTTTTTACAGTAAATCAACTCTAAATTTATACAATAATAATAATACTCCCTCACACACCTCACACACCTCACATACACATATTCCCTCACACACCTCACACACCTCACACACACATATTCATAAATCCAAATTTTTCACTAAAATTTTTATTTTTTTTTAAAAAACAACAACTTTCAACCAATCAATTATATACCATCATTTAAATTATTACAATATATAAATTTTGGGGATAAAATCCCCAATATTATAATAGCATATATATATTGTGTATATATATATAGACATTTGTTATTTTGGTGATACAGGAAAAAAGTACGCCTAAAATTTTAAAATGGCTTTTATATAATAAAGTTACACGACACAGTTCTCCCTCTATATATAACGGATCATTTGTTTGAAAAAAGTTCTGTTATTAGTCGTGTGACATTTCCCTGAGGCTGCTTTTCTATATGTGAAAATAAATTTGAAATTCGTGTCACATGAAGTTTTTTTAAAATATCT